AAACACAAACAACAACAACCAAGTCTTTATCCCAAATGTTTAGGGTCGGCTACATGAATCCTATTTTTTCATTCTATTCTGTTACGGGTCATTTCCTCCGTTATGTTAGCTTAATCATATTCTTCTTAATTGTTTCTGACCAAGTCATTCTAGATCGACCTCTAGATCTCCTAGTCTCATTAGCTCTAATATTATCACTTTTCCTAATCGGTACACGAAGGGGTCTCCTTTGTACATGATCAAACCATCTTAATCTATTCTCTCTCATTTTATCCTTAATAGACGCAACCTCTAATTTACTATGGATGCATTCATTTCTTATCCTATCTTTTAATGTATACCCACAAGACCATCGCAATATTATCATTTTTGCTACACTTATTTTTTAAACATATTTTGAATTGCCCAATATTCTGACCCATAAAGCATAGTTGGTCTTATAACAGTTCTATAAATTTTTTCCTTTAGTTTCATTGGTATTAAACGATCACATAAGACTCCCGAAGCACTCTTCCACCCGATTTGATTCGATGCACACATCATCCTCTATCTCACCATCATATCTAATGATAGATCCTAAATAGCAAAAATGATTAGTTTTAGGTATTTTTTAGTCATCAATATGTACCATAGACTCTCTTTCTTTCCTACTTTTACTAAAAATACATTCCATATATTCTATTTTTGTTCTACTAATTCTAAAACATTTAGACTCAAGAGTTTGTCTCCATCTTTCTACTTTAGAAATAACACCTCTTCTAGTTTCATCAACTAATACTATATCATCAATAAATAACATACATTATGAGATTTCATCTTGAATGTGCTTAGTAAGTTGGTCCATAACTAATGCAAAAAGATAAGGACTTAAAGCTGATCCTTGGTGTAAACCTATGGTAATAGGAAATGGTTTAGTCTCTCATTCATTAGTTCTTACTTTAGTTGTTACTCTATCATATATATCTTTAATCACATCAATATATATACTAGATACATGTTTATTTTCTAACACCCACCACATTACCTCTCTAGGTACTCTATCATAAGCTTTTTCTAGATCAATAAAAATCATATGTATATCCTTTCTCTTCTCTCTATATCTCTCCATTAACCGTCTCAAAATATGTATATGTTCCATAGTTGACCTTCCAGGCATAAAACCAAATTGATTTTCAGATATACATGTCTTTTTTTTATCTTTGCTCAATTACCCTCTCCCAAAGTTTCATTGTATGACTCATGAGTTTAATACCTTGATAATTTGAATAACTTTGTATATCCCCTTTTTTTTATATCGGTATCAAAATACTAATCCTCCACTCATCTGACATTCTTTTCGTCTCGATAATCTTATTAAATAGTTTAGTTAACTATCCTAAACCTCTTCAAAATATTTTCAAACTTTAATAAGGATATCGTCCGGTCCTATGGCTCGTTCACTTTTTATTTTTTTAGAGCATCTTTAACCTCGCTAATCCTAATTTTATAACAATATCTATAATTCCTATCATTCACTATATGATCAAAATATCTATTTGGCTCACTTGTTTGGTTATCATTAAACAATTGAGAAAAGTAACATCTCCATCTCTTTTTTGTTTCCCCGTCGGTCACTAGAACCCTTTGATCCTCACTTTTAATACACCTAATATTACCCAAATCTCTACTCTTTCTTTCTCTAATCTTAGCAAACTTATATATATCTTTCTCTCACTTCTTAGATTCTAACTTCTTATAAAATTTTCATAAGCCTTGTATTTATTCTTATTTCTCACTAACCGTTCTTTTTGCTTTCTTCCTTACTAGTTTATATTTTTCTAAGTATTCCTTACTCGTACACTTTTCTCACTCTTTATATAAAGTTTTCTTCTCTCTAATAACCTTTTGCACACTCTCATTCCATCACTAGCTCTCCTTACCGTCTAATCTACAACCTTTAAATTCTCCTAGTATATCTTTAGTCACTTTCCTAATATAAGAAGACATGCTATTCCATATAATATCAGTCTCATTATCTATGTTCCATATATTCTTTTATTATCTTATCTTTAAAATATATTAAATTCTCTCCTTTTAAATTCCACCATTTCGTTCTTAGTCTTTTGTTCACGTTATTTTTTCTACTCCACTTTTAATAGATATGTCTAAGATCATCAACCTATGTTGTGTACTTAAACTCTCTCCTGGTATAATTTTACAATCCTTGCATATTAATCTATCTACCATTCTAGTAAGAAAAAAGTCTATTTGACTATTATTGAAATCACTTTTAAAGGTTATTAAATGTTCATCCCTTTTTCTAAAAAGTGTATTTGCTATTATCAAATCATACGATATTGCAAACTCTAGAATTGTGTTCATCCCTTTTTCTAAAAAGTGTATTTGCTATTATCAAATCATACGATATTGCAAACTCTAGAATTGATTTACCCATATCGTTCTTCTATTATCAAATCATACGATATTGCAAACTCTAGAATTGATTTACCCATATCGTTCTTATCTCCATACCGAAATCTCCATGTATTCTCTCATATCCGTTATTATCCTTACCAATATGCCCATTAAGATCCCCTCCTATAAGTAATTTCTCTCTAAATAAGATTCTTTGTACTAATTCAGCTAATCTATCCCAAAATTCCTTTTTAGTACTCTCAGGCAAGCCTATTTGTGGTGCGTAAGTACTAATAATATTAATAACATCTACATCTAAAATAACTTTTATTAGTATTATTCTATCTGCAACTCATCTTACATCTACAACACTTTCTTTTATTATATTATCTACAAGAACTCCCACTCCATTCCTATTTTTCTCTTTTCCCGTGTACCAAAGTTTATATCCGGTCTTTTTAATTTCTCTAGATTTTTTACCTATCCATTTATTTTCTTGTAAACAAATTGTACTTATCTTTCTTCTAATTATGACATCTACTAATTCCATTATCTTTTCAGTAAGTGTACATATATTCTAAGTAACTGATCTAATTCTATTTTCTTGTAAAAATCTCCTACCATTTTCCCTCTTAGACCGTTCTAGTCTATGCCTAATACTATTATGTACCCTATTAAAAGATTGTAGATTCTTAGAACACCCTCGTTTACTTATCATTACACCAGGGTGACATTGATGTAATGTGTCGCTTCCGGTGTATGCCGTAGCAAACCACTCTTGCTTACTTATCATTGCATCGAGGTGAGATCGATGCAAGGCGTCGCGGTGGGGACGCTCCAACGAGTATATAATAGAATTCAGTTTGCCCCAACGAGTATATAATAGAATTCAGTTTACATGTGGATCCGACTATGTTTTGCGCTGGTTGTCGGCTATCTAACACAACCCTTATTTATCCTAGCTTGGGACTGCAGTGCTAACAAACAGCACTGGCGGAGTTTCCCCCAAACCAACACACACACACACAATTTCACCAAGTAGGGGGAAGGAAGTTCCTCATGTTATGATTATGGAACTTGAACTTGTAAATATCTAACATCAGAGAGGAGACATTACTCCAATTTCCCTGTTTATATGCCTCTCTATGCTAATGCATGTAAAAGGTAAAACATGAGTTCTGCACTGAGTTAATGAGAATATACTGTCCAATGATTAAAATCTCGATATGAGTTGTTGTTATGGTTTATTGGTACCAGCATCGGGAGTTTTAGGTTAGAAATAGGCAAATAGAGCAACCTATTTCAATCCAAGCTTTATGTTTGCTTTTCTTTTTATATTCCCCAGTATGACATTATCAAATCAACTTTTGGTACTTCAGATCTCATATTTCTTCATTTACCGGTCATTATCTCAATCTATTAGTCAATAGTAGTCAATTTTTATGATATCTAGCTGGCATCAACTGGATGTTTTCAGCATGCTTAAAAGCAATCTGATATAGCTTATATGTATTGGCACTGGAAGATACTTCAAACCTTCTCATATCCCGTTATCTACTTATCTACAATGAGAACAGCCATCAAATTTATATTGAGAACACTATTACTCTCCGATGAGCTATATTGAGACTGGAACCTTGATGTGGAATCATCCACAACTTGAAAAATAAAACCGGACCTTCACATGGTTCATGTCAAAAGACCCTGCCACAACACCAAAATTTCAAAGTTGCGACGAGGGTTGAGAGTTATATTGTATATTCTAACATGCTCCTGTAGGTCAGCAGAAACCTAGGCTCACACACTGTTTTTTTTTTTTTTTTGTTAAATGCACTTTGAAATTCGGTGCTAGCAAGATTCGAACATGGGTTTGCTCTAAATACCATGTCAAAGGACCATGCCACCATGCCAGAACTCCGAAGTTGTGGTAAGGATTGTAATTTTATATTCTAACAGTTCAAACAAATCATACAAAAAATATGATATAATACTAACTTACGTAAGTTTATCTGAAACATGCGACTTTACAAGCTTATTATTGTAATATGGTCAAAGAAATAGGTTCATTCATCCGACAGTTGGCACACATAGGTTCTATGGCATGCTGCGCTGTTCCACATTGCAACTTGGTTAAGAACTTGGCATCAGTCAACAGTTCAAGGAGGGTTAAATTCTGATTTACAGTCAATCATGAAACTTGGTCAATTCTTTGCATAGAATTTGGGTGTGCTCTACAGCTTTATCCCATGTTGATGGGGAAAAGGCTTAGATGATGAGAATCAATCATCTGATGTGACTACTAGATTACTTGTGGCATATAGTAAGCATATTGCAGGAACTTGGCATGAGTCATCAGTTCATGGAGGGTTAATATCTGATTTACTCATGAAACTTGCTCAATTATTTGTATAGATTTTCAACATTAGGGTGCTCTCTAGAGCTTATTCCATGTTGATGGGAAAGAGGTTTAGATGATAGGGATCAATAGTCTGATGTGACAACTCGATCTTTTGAGGCATCCATTGTAGACATCAGGAGCCCCTTATGAAAACATCCAATATAAGCTATTACTAAAATATAAGATGCATGTTCATTTCTTTCAAAGAAAACGAAATATATCCGAAGTATCTGAGATGCGTGTAAATGACCAGTGCAACTCTGGAATGAACTTTGTGAGAGAAGTGAATTTCCAAGCATCAACAAATCTGTCATCCAAGAACCCAAAATACCGAATTCAGTATCTCCCTACACTACAATCCTCTTGTTGCTTCACCTTTTCCATTCCTTCAAACATTGTATAATAAATTTTCTATTAAATAGGTGACAACTTGGAAATAAGCCAACAAACACCATATGAAATGGCAATACATGCTCCCCTATGTTCATGCCACCAAAATATTCCAATATATATTGACCTCATCCAAGGGCTTTTAGCAACTGACAACAACAACAAAGCCTTTATCCCAAATTTTTAATGATTGTTAAATTATAAAAGAAAAATCACGAAGTTTCATTTCATCACTGTCTCACTATTATATTCAGATATGACATGTAGTATTCACGGGAGAGAATACTATAGTAGGACTAAAGAAAAATCCCAAAGATGTTGAAGTTTGAACAGACTGAGGATTATTTACTATCGTAGGACTATTGACATGCAAGAACAAAATTTACAGGAAATAGAAAAACTTCTAACACAAACAAATTCACAGAAATAAACTTATGTATCATATGGTTGGCGCTTCATGAGTTGGCAAGGTGGTAATCAATAATGTCAATAATAATTATAATATGCTCGACATACCTTGATATATCAATTTGCAAACAAGTCTTGAAAGCTAGGCTGCAAGTCTTTGAACTGTACCAATGCCCTTTACCGATGCATATATTAGTCCCATGCTGCAAGTTGGCACTCCCATTCAACAGACAGGTTGTCATTCTGTTCAACAATGCATTGGGTAGAACATTTCAGGGAAGACTCAAATGGAGTTAATAAACACCCATTACACTTGATGGATTCCCCAAATTTGATTTGCTGTGGATCTCAAAGTAATTGAAAATCTGTCCTTTTTGACTTTAAACTAAATGCAAAAGCTGATAATGATATGGTAAGAGGTAGCCAAAAGGATCCGTAGCAAATGAGTTCAATAGCTAAACCTGGGTTAAACGGATATGATTTTGTTCTCAGAAAGCTAAATGCTAAGCTGAAACTTGCACGCAATGTGCGTAATAAAAAAGACCCCAAAGCCACCATAACCCATATCCATGAAATTGTTAAGTAGTAATTATCCTGTAAATAGGTATTCTCATGTGCTCTGTTGATTAAAAGACTTATAAGCACTTCACGTCAATCTTCATACTCTAAAACATAACCTACAGATCACACAATTTAGATGTCTAAACTACTCATAGAATTGGTCACATTTGTTTTATAGTTAAAAGACATTTTGTTTCACTGTTTTTTAATGTCACACCATTTAACAAGAGTGTTTGAAATCAACAAATAGAGTGAGTTTTACAAATTTTACATTTTAGGTTATGGATATTAAGATACACAGATTGAACTACTAGTAGTTGCCCCCTCACGTGTTTGAGGTTACACCTTAATCCCTGTTATCATTTTCCTACATAGAAGTTGATAATATTCTAAGAGTTACCAAGGAAAATTTTAGCTCTTTGCGTCAATGATAAAAAAGTAAAATCCAACTAGAGAACTTCACATCTTTCTATTTACTTCCTTTCCATAAAGTACAAAACTAAGAAAAGTTTCTAGAGGTGTGGCAAAGTACATTGACATGTAAATCGAACTGTGCATAATAAATTTTTTTGAGGAAAAAACTATAATTGAAAAAAATCCTACAATACTGTACTGGTATCCCGAATACGATCAAATTAACAGAAAATAACATGTGTAAGCTCGAATTCATTTTGTCAGTTGTTTGCAGAACTTTAAAAACTCCTATGGGTATTAAACTGGCCGAAAAACTTTTTATTGATCTGAAAAACACAGAAAAAGATAAGAAAATATATGCTTCAAAATTTAGATGACGTAGCTTTTGTAATTCATAGAACCATATCAAAATGTTCGCGTACAAAGTTTCTCTCTTTTATTATGCAATAAAGGGTCTAGAAAGACAATAAACTGAAGGACCCATTTCCTCAAATACTTGATATGCAAAAAATAAAATAAAATAAAATAAAACCCATAGCTCACAAATTAAAACGAGCAAAGCTCACCTCTGCGCTTTCTTTCGATCGATCCAAATTCCCAAAAGGAAACGCAAGTTGAATTCGGATCGTTTGTTGTATTTGGGTTCTAGAGATTAAGGAGATGAACAAAAAGCAAGGAACAAATAAATATTGGGGGAAAGCGTAGTCAAAAGAAATGGGTTTTTTTGTTTTTTGTTTTTTTTTTTTTTTTGCAAAATGCACCAATTGAGGGCTGCGGCTGACGATTTTTGAGTATTTCTTGGAATTCTTTTTTTTTTTGTCCTTTTTTGGGGCTTGGTCGTCTCTTTTTCTTTAATGCGGCTTTTCGAGAAGCTTTTGGACACGGAACTGCATAAAGATCAGACTGTAGATTTGGGTCCCATGGAAAGTGCGTGAGAATGGGCCCACCGGGTATCCAACTTGCAGCCACGGCCACCGCACCTGACAAACTTTACAAAACGGGGCTTTTCGCGTGGAATCCCCCTTACATTTTTAATTTCACTCACACCCCCTTGGAACACTGGGATGTCACAAAAGGCCCCAAACTTTCAAAATTTCCTCACCTAATTTCTGGATACTTCATCTTACACAAAGGGCAACAACACCATTAACGGTGTTAGGAGGGTCCAATGGTCAAGACACCCCAAATTTTAGAGATGCTTTGCAAGACGCCCCAGAAGCCGGGGGTTTAGGAGAATAAGAAAAGTGAAGGAGTTTTGTGAAAAATTTTAAGGGTTTGATCCGACCTCATCGGCCGATAATGAAAAAAATAATGTTAGAGGCATACCACCCATCACAACCCCAACCACACTCTCCCCTCTCAATGATACAGTAAACCGGGCCCCACATGGAATTTTAAATTTTTTAAAATCTCATGTGGGGTCCGGTTTACTGTAGCATTGAGAGGGGGAGTGTGGTTGGGTTTGTGGTGGGTGGTGTGCCCCTAACACCACTCTAATGAAAATTTGTCATCATTAGCTATGTCAAAAAAAAAAAAAAAAACTGATGCAGCTCTGAGGCCTGTTTGCGTAATGGCCTTTTTAGGGAGCTAGCTAAGCCGAGTAACTCGCGTGAATGAGGGCGTAGGTGTGTAAGCAAGCATTGCGGGAATCTTCAACCAATAAGGCTAGATTTTACTATGCTACCTCAAAGCCTCTGCGCTATATTTTACTTTGCTACCTCAAAGCCCCTGCCATTTTTCACTCTGATACTGTCAAGAATTTTCCTATTATTTTGATATTCAAAGTCTCAATCTCATTTCACTCGGGTACTCCCAACGTACTCTTACCACTTTGATACCTTAAAAGTTTCAATCAAATTTCACTTTGTTACTCGTGTCTATATCCCATTAGGTTTTTTCCTGGTTAAGTTTGTCTCAACGTGCTTAGTGATTAGCTAAAATTGATTCAAATGTATTACGTGATAATCACATGCTAAAGACATGATAAAATTTTAACAAGAAAAAATATAACGGAATATGAACGAGTTATTAAAGTGAAAATGTCATTGAAACTTGGAGTATCAAAGTGTAAAGAAATAATTATCAAAGGAAAATAAGATTGAAACGTTGGGGTTTAAAGTGTTTAAAAATACTTTGAAGCATCAAAGTTAATGCAAAAATAACTCACCAAATAACCAAAAGAGTTTTTCTGTATTAGTCTCTTAATCTTTCATATTTGAGACTAGTCCTTCACATAATTAAAATTAGTATTTGGTCCCCTAATTCTTAAGCTATTATGAACTAGTCCCTCAAATTATATTAAAATTTCTATTAGGTCCGCCAAGTCTTAAGTTATTTTGAAATGAATCCTTGAAATCAAAATAAACATCAATTAAAGAGATCTATTTGAGATGACTTCTGAGAATTGAGGGGCATAAGAAGTAACAATAGGCACCATTTTATAATGGTAAGCATGAGGAATACGAGAATCATATATTCCTAAGATTTTAGAACTCAGAACGGTCCTTTGATGAACACAATATTCTTGATGTATGTTTTTTATCATGTGCTTAGCAATTGGGTGGAACAGCCAAATGTATCACATGTCAATCACATGCTACGGAAGTACTATAATTTTGAAAGAAAAATCCTACGGAATATAGATTTGGTTTAAAGTGAAATGTTGGGGTATCGAAGCATTAAATAAATACTCTTGGGTATTAAAGGGAAATAGGATGGAAACTTAAGAGCACCAAAGTGTTTGTAAAATACTTCGAGGCGCCAAAGTGAAAGTTAGTGGACTTTAGGGCATTGAAGTGAAAATAAGCAACCAAATAACCGAAATGTTTTCTTTTTCAATATTAGGCACTTAAATCTTTTATATTTGCAACTAATCCTTCATATGATTGAAATCGCCATTAGGTCAGAACCCCCAAC